CCATCATTTTTAACAGAGAAGCCAAAAGCAGGAAATGTAAAACACTGTTCTGGTTCACCAGAGTCACTCTGACCTTGTAATAAAGGCGCATATCCATGAACAACACACCAGTAATGAATAAGACTGTATCTTGTCATCCTGCCAACTCTTAGAGGACAGAAGCAAGTAGTGATGGATTAACAACTTTGAGAGCCTATGTAAAGTACTGCAAAAGGACTCAAATCATCCTAGTTGTCAGAAATCTCCTCCTCTCTCCTACAAAGCACGCAAAACTGATCGGGAAAGAGGGCCTTCCTTCACAAGAGCCAGACACCAGATCATCATCAAAGGACATGTGACTATATAAAATAACCACTGATGACACTTTCAGTCACAGTGAATATGCAAGATTCAGCTGCTAGACCCTCTCTTATCCACACAATCATTATTTGAACAGGGTGGACAGAGTCAAAGGGAATGGGTTTTAAATGAATTATACACTTAGGTATACAAAACAATTGCTTCTCGCAAACTACTGCTTCAGGCTGTCTGCAAGATCAGACAAACACTCGCTACTGCCTGGAGTCTTGTTTTTAAACTTACGCTCATTAAGTGTACAAACTGCAGTGGTTTTCATCTTTTTCTCCCATCTCTATGTCCATTTGTCTCTCCACATCTTTCACCCCGAGTCTGCTCCAAACATCCACATCACCACATTCTCATGACCAAAAAACTCCCGGGAGTTTTATTCTGCGTTTCAGTTTACAGTTGCAACATAGTCTGATTCACTGTACTTTCTTTGATATGTGTAAAAAGAAAACAGATATTCAAGATAAAATTGTAAAATTCAGGTATACATTTTTAAAGGTCTTTTTCCCCAATGAATAACCAAATTGAAACTATGCATAAACACCACTTATATAGCAATGGCAAGACCTCAAAAAACGTTTTCCCCTGGTCTTATCTCGAAATTTTATTCCAGGTACTGTGTGCAGATGCAGTTAGCCATTGGAATTAATTCTGATGAAGTTAAATGCCGTAGAACTATTTTTTTTATTAACAAAAACCAAAGCTTCTCATGTGTTTGAACCTGAAAACACCACCTGTACATTATCCCACACAGTATATGAGAATAAGTGGCAGACATGGATCACAGCTGGATGAAACAGTAAGTAATACAACTGCTTCAACATGCTACTTATTCTAAACTTGACAAAAATGTCACACTGGCTAGCACTAACATTAGCTAAATAGTGCTTCTATTAACGAGACGCAGTCAGAGCTTTGTGTATCATTGTGTTACTCTCTGGTCTACCCAGATCTAGATCTGGGAAGTCTACTAAGCCCTATTTCAACTTATGGCTTAGTATGAACATGCAACAAAAAAAGCCAATGCTGTTTTGAAGACAGGAAAAAAAAAAAAAAAAAGAAAAAACAACAACCAAACAATAACACCAAAGAATAAGCTAGTTATCTTGAAAGAGCAAGACAGAAAATGAAACAGTTTTCTTCTTAAGTCCCTTAATTTCCCACAAAAACGGCTTCCCCCTCTTTTTACTGAGGGAGAGTCTTGTTTATGTATAAGATAACTGAAGAGTAAGATTTAAATGGCATCCCAGGCTTCCCCATTGTTTTGAACATATAGCATGAATTGAGTAAAATGCTTTCTACTACACAAATGTCCATAATTCTTTGCTTTCATAACCTCAGGTATCCATTTATGATGAACTAGAAAAACATTTGCTATTGTTCTCAGGGTCTTTACAACAGAATTACAGGAGGAAAGTAATACATTTTGAAGAACCGTCATTTATCACTGAAAAGTGACAAGAACAATCCATGCAGCGAGGTATTACACCTGCACAGACAAAATACTCTGCTTCTGCAATAGAAATTAGTATCTTTATATCCTGACTGCAATACCTTGTGAAATAAAGGGACTCTTTAAAATACTAAATGGTTTTGGAACAAATAGCTGATACCCAGTTCAGTAGACCTTTGCTTGATGTCTTTTTTTCCACCTCCTCCTACCCCTATTTTCTAATGCAAAGAGACACTGCAGTCTTTCCCAAGGCAAAGACATTTGAGAGTCCCTCCTCTGCTTTCCTCCAATTCACATGAAACTCAAAGAAATGTAACTGTATTATTTAAATTATACCCCTTAATCAACTTTCAGTTGCAGATAACTACGGGGTAAATTTGAAGTAATTAAGTAAGACAGACAAACAGGGTACAACCTTCCTCCTGAAGAGGTCAAACTCAGAAGAGCACGTTCAACATAACTTCAAGCTCCTGAAACCTTGACAGATCTTAGAGCATGAAAGCTTCAAACCTGTGATCTAAGCAAAGGAGACACTCCCACTTTCTGTATCAGCTCAAGCCATCTGCTGATGGCCTGTTAGGCTCACCACCAGACAGAATAATGATGGACTCAGGAACCACTGCTTCAGTGATTTAAACTAGGCACACAGAACTTCATAAAGATATGAGGAATGTTGCTGCATGTTCTCTTAACTTCGGACCAATCACTTACTTCCTTATGTTACCAGTAACCAGTTGAGAATCATCAAGCAGCTTGGGCATGCATATTTTGAAGTGCTTAAACAGGTACTGACAAATCCAATCTTTGTGTTAGAGAGGCTGTCATAATATTTGTAAGAACCAAATACAACTCATGGAAATCAGAATAGAATCTCTCTTGGGACTAGTGGAAAGTGATCTTGGGAATTGTTTTCAAAATCAGAGGACAGCTATATTATTCTGTAATTGAAGTTCTGGAAATTGGAGAACTATCAGAGGCTTCATATGCAAAAAACTGCAAAAACCACTGCAAATAAAACTACTGCTTGAAGGTTTTAACTTTAATCCTACAGTGCTCAAACAGTAAGTTCTATTACTCTCATAACCTAATTTAGGCAAATAACATGAAACTATAATTTAACCAAACTTGACCAAACCTTACTCTGAATCTGAGTAAACAAAAGCACAGTGGTGAAGTGACAGAAGAATTGTTCCAATGCCCTCACAGTTGACAATTCCAGCATCTTCTTTAGTCAACTCCTAAAAACAGTTTCATTTTTGTTGTTAGTAATTCTAACACCTATATTTACTTTGACACACATCTAGCATACTGATATAGTACATTTCTTTCTACATATTGACAAATACACAGAGTACTCCAATAACAAATTAGACAAAGACTTTAAATATACTCTGAATTTGTTTTAACAAATAAATTACTTGCACCAAACTGTATCTGTCAAAATACTTTCCTGAAAGGAAACCAGCATTGCAGTATCTATGCTGCAAAGCATTGGCTTCTCAAAGAAGTTGGGTTTTGGATAGCTGCTGATCACTATAACTGGAAAATAAGCTTAAGTGGTATGTATTATAAGACGATTCACAGTTCTGTGAGGTAGGAACGTTGCTTTATCCCCTTTTTACAAAACGACATGCGAGATACTAAAGTTAGGAATGGGACTTGTATACTGCCAAGCTTTGAGGCATCTACCTATCTACCAAAATTTATGATATTGGAGTCATCTAGATTTCTGGTAAAATACAAAGGATTACACAGTATATAAAAAAGGTATCCCCAATGGAAAAAAAAAAACAAAACGAAGAAACCAAAATCCAACAGCTGCTTTCAAGAAGCAATAGAAAGTACAGAAGTAAAAGATACTTTCTCCCATCTACCTCTAGCTAATTTTATTACGTTACTGTGAGCTGCAGGAAGACATCTTGAATTTAAAATTTACAGCCCTGAATCCTTTCCCATAGTTATGTACCTTGATTCTCCCTTCCAAGCAAAGGCTGCTTAGCAGTATTTTTCATATAAAACAGTAACTGAGAAGATGAAAGATGTACGTCTCAGTGCCTATTATCAAGAAAATAATTACTTACTTTACAAAAATTATGAAATGAATGACAGCCTTAACTGTTCCTTCATACTGCCAAAACTATCTTATTCTAAAACACCTTTTCCTTGATTCAAGGAAAATTTTATTCTCACTCTTCCAATACACAATGATTGCAAAGATGTGTAAATCTTTAAACTTTAAATAAGAGACTCATAATGCTCTTCCCTGCCTCTTCCCCAAGAAACCTGTAGATTTATGATCAGGCCACTCTCCTATGGAATGTGAAGCATAAGTTCCAGTCCCCCTCATGTAAATACCTTCAACTACCTTCATATTGAAAATATTAAGGGACACTAATTCTTCAGCCTTCCTCTGTGGCAGGGAAGGAACCTAAGGCACTATTTCAAAGAAGAAATTTCCTTGAAGAAATGCCAATTTAAGAGTCCCTACCTCACATTTCCGTGCTGTTCATTCTCATGCCTGGTACATCCTACTATTTGTTCTGGAATAACTGCTTAAAAGGTAAAGTGGTAAAACTTTAAAACAAACAACCAGCATTATTTTTAACCTGAATCAGCTGAGTGATCCAATTTACCACAAGGCACAGGCAACAGTTGTGTCAACACCACAGAGGACTGAACGAAAGGCAGAAACAAGCAGTTAAACATGTACATTGTTTCTACATTAGCATAGAGGAATTTGTAAATTCATATCCACAGATTCCAAACCATTTTTACGAGACTGAAGATTAATCTTCGACACTGTAAAACAGATGCCATTTTAAGAGGCAGGAAGCAGTAGTAACCAATGGGACGGTCAAGAGCATAAAAAGTGGGGGGAAAATAGTACGGCCATAGTCATTCTTTCTCTCTCTACGTGGGTGTATATATAGCTTTCTCTGTGTGTTTGTTTATATATATATATATAGCTACAAAGACCCCACAGATTTTTAAAAATTACTGAAACTATTTTGTATGTATGTTTATATGTAAATATTTAAATAGCATCGAAAAGAAAACCCTCCAAATCATAGTTAATGGCACTGAACAATACTTTTTCTTCTTACAAAATCCTAAGTCCTGTGACATACACACAAGTAAACACATGCATGCATCTTCAATTAGACATTGGGTCATGTACTGGACTTCCAATACAGGTCTCTGCACTAACGAAACAAACAGCAAAGTGCCACCAAAAAATTATAAAGCGATTTCCAGCATTAATTCGAGGAATCAGTGAAAGAGTAGCTACATGACCCCTGAAAAATATAACTGCTCTTGGGGAGAAGACGGAGAGGAAAAGCTAGAGGGTACAGAATAGGGCAAACGGGCACAAATCTCTGGGAGCACCATGCTGGCTATGGAAGGAGCCATCGCCCTCTCCGGCTCCCTGGCAGCGAGGCAAACGCTGCCCGCCACGCCGGGCACGGCGGGGCTCCTCAGCCGTTT